GTGGCCACCTCAGGCTCTGTCTGGGGGGAGCTGTTGTGTTGGGACAGGGGGACAGCATGAACCATGTTCAACTGGCTTAGGGTCCAGGATTGTCCTGAGGATGGATGGCGGCTTTCCCGGTCTGTGAACTAAGTCCATTAGAAATGTGTACTCTGGTGTTTCGGTGAATGGAAGGTGTTCTCTTGGACAGTCCTCTCTTTTCATCCCAGTGTCCTCCTCGTGACCAGGCCCGAGAGACTGGGGTGACCCCGCATTCTGGCTCAGAGGCTGCTTGGTGGGACCCTCTGCTGGTACAGCCTGGCCAGGCTCGCAGTCCCCCCCAGTTCCAGGGACGCCGGGGGAGAAGGCAGGGCCTGCCTGGGACAGCCTCTTGGGGGTCTGAGCTGCCCGCTGGGCCCGGACATATCAGTGCAGGCTCATTGTATCCAGAGCCCAAGCTCATATTTGCCAGAGGAAAACCTCTGAGGAGGCAAAACGAGCCGAGATTAGAGACTTACCTGAGCAGTTGGAAATCACCGTCTCCTGGGCTTTGCTTTTAATCCAAATGGTTCGGATCACAATGGCATAGATGACGCTGTGGGAAGGAGCACAGGTAAGATGAGAATGGCTGAGGGGTCCCCCCGGGAGACACAGGGGGAGGACCACTCCTACCTCCTGAGCGTGAGGTGTGGAGGGAGGGTCCCCCTGTATTTGCTGATTCTAGAATCCCAGCAGATGGAAACGGAAAGCCCCTAGGAAGTCAGCTAAATGTGGCTACTTCTTTTTTAAGTGAGGAAACTAAGGCTGGTGAAGTTAAATTTCTCTAAGATCACCCCAGTTGTTAGAGGTAGAGCTGAGGTTAGCATCCAAACACAGCGCTCAGGGTCAGGAAGATTCAGATTTGTAACCGGCTCTACTGCTTACTGGTTGTATGACCTTGGCTTTAGTTTTTCCTGTGGCCCGTGATCCCTGCCTCTGGTGTGCAGGCCTCTGTGTGTTCCTCTCTTGTTGGATGTGACGGGACCTAGGATTTGCTTCTAATTGGTGCATTGGGATGAGGCGATGGGATGTTCATGATCACACAAGAGTGTAGCATCTTACTAGCGTCTGTCTTCATCCCTTGCTCTGAAGAATCAGTTTTCTGGGACTGCAGAACCGTGAGTCCTACAGCCCCAGGAAATTAGTTCTGCTAAGACCCCATGAGAGATGGGAATAATATCCTTCTACAAGTGAGCCTCTGATGGGCACCCCAGCCCCGGCCGACACCTTGATGGTCACCTTGTCTCGGCAGATGACCCAGATAAGCCGTGTACAGACTTCTGACCCACAAGACATATGAGATAATAAAGTGTGTTGCTTAAGTCACCAGGTTCATGATCATGTATCAAGCAATAGATAACAAATACACTGTGTGATATAGGCTGACTCTATGTGTCCCTCCAAAACTCATATGTTGACTTCCTAATGTCCAATGTGATGGTATATGAAGGTGAGTCTTTGGGAGATGCCTAGGTCATGAGGGTGGAGCCCTCATGGATGGGATTAGTGCCCTTCTAAAGAGAGACCCTAGCCCATTCCACCATGTAAAGACACAGAGAGAAGTCTGCAACCTGGAAGAGGGCCCTCACCCAACCCTACTGGCACCCTGATCTCAGACTCCCAGCCTCCAGAACCGTGAGAGATGCATTTCTGTTGTGTACAGCCTGTGGTATTTGGTTGTAGCAGCCCAAAGGAACAGACAGTGAGCCCCAGTTGAAACCGTAAAATGGAGTTAATAATACAAACCTCTTAAGAATTTTTTAGGGATCAAATGTGACAACATTTAAAGTGCCGAGCACAGTGCTTGAAAATTAGACTCAGTAAATGTCATCTTCTGTCCCTCTTTCTTCCCCATTTTTCACATCACACCACGTCTACTCTCCTGGGATGTAACCTGTGCCTAACAGGAAATCAACGTGTCAGTGACTCAAGAGCAGCAGCAAAATTTGTGCCTGATGTCCCCTTTGGTAAATATAAAAATTAATGCCTTTCTTTCGTGTTATTTGACGTTTCAAATATATTAAGTATCTCCACTAAAAACTTGGGGAAGAAGCACCGCTTTATTTTAAAACCACACCAACTTCCCTCTTGAGAGCCACTGGTTAAGAGAGAAATCAGAGCTCCCATTTGCAGCAGCTGACAAAGCACTAATTGCTTTAATGATCTTTAGAATATAACGTAATTAATGACTTGGTAAAATGCCCTGTTTCTTTATGCTCTTCCTGTCTTGTTCAGCCAACCCCTCTGGGCGCTCCGAGAAGGCTCGAGGCCTTTTTGGAACACCCCCCCTTTGCTCGTTTACCTGCCCAGGGGTTTCTTTGGAACCTGTGTGTCTGCATGGAAGAAACAAATGAGGGCAAACCTGACCAGCGAGTCTATTCTTCCTCTAGGCTGAGCATTTGTTAGAGCCAGGAAACTTCTCCCCAGGTAAATGGACAGCAAGGAAAGGCTACAGCCACAGGGAGTGCTGTGTGTTGCAATCGCAAGCCCAGTACTTAAGTGATCAGTAATTCAAATATTTATTGACAATTGATCAGTAATTCAAATATTTAATGACCATCAACCACATACACGGTGGAAATGAAAAAAGGCCTATGTGTTAGGGGTTCAGGCCTAAGTCACCCCACCTCATCTTGAAAGGACCCGCCAGGCAAGTAGAAAGTCAGTCCCAACTTTCCTGTGAGCCAGGAAAATGCCTAGTAAGTCGGGCGCCACTTTAACTTATTACCCAAATCAGGCCACTTCTCAGAGGGCACCAGTTGCGCATCAGAGAGACTTCGGAACTGTATGTCTTTCTTCCACATCCCTTCCTTCTAATTAATCAGCAAGTTCTGTGCATTGTCCCTTCAAAATGTCCCCATTGCCTGTCCCGCCCTCCATCCCTGTTCTTCAGAACCCTTACAACCTCTTTTTATATATGTTGGTGAGTTTTCATTGTGATAAACATAACATAAAATATACCATTTTATCCATTTTTAAGTGGACGGCTCAGTGGTATTAAGTACATTTATGTTGCTGTGCAATCACCACTGCCCATTTCCAGAACTTTTCCATCTTCCCAGGCTGACACTCTGTACCCCCTGAACACAAAACCATGGCCAGCTTCCAGAATTGATGGCACTCTTACCCAGAGGCCGTGCCCATCTGCCCTGTCCCTTCTAATTCACCATGCCTGCTGCCCAAGCGAGGGCCCGTATGGTCTCTTGCCTGATCATTGCCGTAACCCTCTAAGACCTCCCCCTGCTGCCGTCGGGGCTGGGGCTCCAGGGCAGAGGACGCCCTGGTCTCAGCAGGGCAGCCAGAGCCTCCCCTCGTCTTCCTCCGCCTTCCTCACCTTATCTTCCTGCCCAGAATCGTAAATTACACACATCATATAATACATCAGTATATTTCACATAACATACTACATATGATTACAGAGGAACAGAATGCTATGAAGATAAAATGTAGGGTGATACACGAGTATATAATAGAGGCCCTGACTTGCTCTGGGGTCAGGGACACCTTCCGGAGGAGGTGAACTTCCAGCTGAGAGCTGAAGGGTTAAATGGTGTGTAAATGCCGAGGGGAGTGATCACGCACACAGAGGGAACAGTATGTGCAAAGGCCCCGAGGCGGGAGGGAGGATGACGCATTGGAAGAACTTCGAGAAGGCTGAGCCTGCGTGCAGACAGCGTGAGTGTGACCTAAGATGAGAGCGGCCTTGTACACAAGTTAGAGGTCATGACCTTTATCCTGAAACAGTGGAAATGTACCGACGGGCTCTAATCGGGAAAGTGAAACGATGGATTAACAGTTTTTTCCAGTGTCACACATTTTTCGGTATGGATGCGTTGTTTCTATCTAGACGTAGGGGCTGGTACCTGAGCTGAACCGTCCTGGGAAAATATACAAGAAATTCTTTGCCTCTGAGGAGTGGGATGAGGGGGAAGTGGGAGGAATATTTTTGGTTTTCATTTCACACTCTGCTGTATGCTTAGCGATTTTCCAAATGAAACGATGGCTCTGACTGTCGTGTGGAATGGGAACTTAAAAGCGGTGAGAATAGATAGGTGGCTATTGCGCTGGGCAGAAGGAACGATGGTAACCACCCTGGGAGTGTGTGCCGGCTCCGTTGTCCTGGGATTTTATTCCGTCTCTGGGCGAAATGACTACATGGTGTGGCCTAAAGTTAGGGGGTGAGAATACACTCCAGAAGCAACCGCAGCTCCTTGGTGCAGGAATCCTGGATGGGAACAGTCATGTGCCTCGCCTCTCACCCCAGTGCCCACGAGGGGGTGCTCAGGAGGGAATCGGGCAGCGTTAGCCCTGCTCTGTGCCGGTCCCTCTGTAAAGTGCCCGACACCCTGTCTCATTAGCTCCACCGGTTAACAGGGTGCTGGGCCCTGTGTGGTATGTGCTCAACACATCTCGATTACAGTTTTTGTTTCCTACAAGTTCTTATTTTGTGACTTTATATGTGAACAATGGGGGGAAGAGTTTATTGCCCCCATTGTGGGGATGACAAGGCCGAAGTGTCAGAGACCAGACTGGCCACCAAAGCCTGGGTGTGATGCTGTGAAGACAGTAACAGCGATTTGCTCACCTTCACAGTCAACCAATAATTGTGCCAAACCCTTCAGGGAAATTCTCTCATTTGACCCCTCCGGCAACTTCATACGGCTGGTGCTGGCGCTGGCGCTGGCGCTGGCGTGTCTTCCAGGTGGAAGGCTGCGGTTGGAGGGCTCCCACGACCGGAGGTCACACGCTGNCACGACTGGAGGTCACACGCTGGAGGCTGGCACAGGGGGCCGGCGCCTGGCCCTTTGCCTGCAGGCTTGTTAACCAGCACTCGGGCCGTCCCGCACGCAGCGAGGGCGGGGTACAGGCTGCACTTGGGCTGCACATGCCCTGTAGTGCCGGTTACTCCCTGAATGCTCTCGACCAGCCCAGCACCCCCTGCTGGGGTCCCCTGGGACCCTCTGTTCACCCTCCAGTGACACTCATCACAGTGTTGTAACTCCTCTCTCCATCGGCTGCCTCCTCTGCGAAACAAGAAGGTTTGTGGACTCAGATGCCACGTATGTCTGGTCACTTCTGTGTCCCCCTTGCTGGCCCAGAGCCTGCCAGAGGGTGGGTGCCCCCAGGTATTTCTAGAAGTAATGAGTGAATGGAAAGAGGCACAGAAGTAACAGTGACAGGGAGTCACTTCCTTCTCGGATGTGGTGGGTCGTCCTTGGTCTCGAACCTCATGCCCGTGGGCTGTGCTGGCCAGGCCCCTGGGCCCCTGGCCTTGAACTCCACAGGGCTTTGCGCTCCACAGGCCTGTGCCGGCCTCCGCATGGGTTTCCCAGTCTGACCCCCGGTCCCCAAGCAAAACAGATGGATTCGCTTCAACGACGGGAATCGGTGCTCCACGGCAAACGCGCTCTTCCCCGCCTCCTCCTTCGCGGTGGTCGGGCGTGGATCCTACGCCCCTGTCTTGGTGTCACGGAGAGGAGACGACAGTGGGATGAGGAATCAGTTAGGGAGCAGGAAAATAGCCACAGCTAAGCACAGCAATTACGCCGGGTCTGACGACCTCCCAGCCACAGTTAGGCAGCGGTGACAAGTGAATTTGGAAACAATGGAAGTTGTGTTGACCCAGAAAAACATTGTGTTGACTTGATTGTCACTCGCTATGATTTCAGGTCCTGGGAACCTGATTTAACTAATGACAGATCAGCTAAATCTGTTCATGCACAGCTCTCTCATGAGTCTGTCAGACAATATGACTCCTTTCCCCCCCTCCCTCCTTCTCTCCCTCCCTCCCTCCCTGGGGGATCTGCCATATGCCAGAAATGTCCATGTTGTGTGTGTGTGACAGTGACTGAGACAGTGACAAGACCCCTGTGTCCTGTGGTTCGTGCAGCGGGTCAGTGGGCCTGCGCCGTTCATTCACCCCGGCATTTACGAAGTGCCCACTGTATGCTGTATGTGGGATCCAGAAGTTAAGAGACAACAGTTCCTCCACTCGAGAGAGAGCCACACAGGCCGCAGTGACACTGGCTCACAGCCTTCATGGCGACCCGGACACGCTGAGGGTCCAAGCGGTGAGCACGGCTTGGCCTCGGGGCGGGACAGCCCCCTGTGGAGCTGGCATTTGATGTGAGAGCCGAGGAGGGGAGCAGTTTGCCGGAAGCCAGGTGGGGGTTG